ATGGTGAGTATGAAGAACTGGAGACCCTTTTTACTGGAAACGAGGGAGGCATGCAATCTTAGTCCTCATAGGTGACACCGTATTTTGATTCCTATTCGAGGATAAATTTAGATGTCTATGAGCCACTGTATGTACTTAACATAAGGTGGACTGCGTGTACACTTGTCTCCTTTATTGTATAAAAAATCACCATCATCAACGACATCGTAATCTTCATCGTCATAGTCGTCATCGTCGTCTTCTCTTACAGAATACCAGCGTAAAAAGCAATTTAATGCTGATGTGTTTCGTGTGGTGAGTATAGAGAATCAGAGACTCTTTTTACTGGAATCGAGGCTTTCAATCTTAATCTTCAGTTACAATGCATTTTAATTCTTGATCGAGGATAGATGTGAAGGTGCATAAGGACTATAGAAAAACATACCGGTATCGTAGCTTAAATAAAATACACAGTACTAATTTTGTAAATACTGAGCCGTGGTCGCCCAAAGTATAAATGCGCACCTTAATATTTCATAGTATTCTAGCTGGTAGAATTCTTTTACTGTCTAGAAGAACGTCTGGGTAGATACTACCCTATTAACTTTTTCTGCCATCAATAGCTATAAAAATTTTTCATCTACCGTCGTAAATTACTTTGTAAGATTTTGAATAAAAACATTTTTTAATACCATTTACTGCCTTTTTATGTGAGAGCATTATTTCTCGGGAATATGTGAGAGCCGACTTCATCTATGTTCAACGCCCTTGTAGCCTTCTTTTTTCGGTGTGTGTTTTCTGGGTCTATGGACTGCAGCTTCCTTTCACCAACAGGTGGTCACCACATTTTTCCTTTCACCATTCCTATTATAAAAAAATTATGAATATTCTATGACTCCTTAATTTTATTACCTTATATTTTAAATTTCGTGTATTGCCCAGATAATATCAAGGTTAATAACAGCTAAAATTAAATAAAGTCTGTTTCGAAAAGATTATTTTGTTAAATACAAAATAAAAGACCCGATTTACTCGTAACAATAGTTAACGATTTTGATTCTAATTTAAGAGGTGCTTGAAATGTCGGCTCGTGCTACGTGCACATTTTTAAAATATATCACCTTTATTATTCGAATAGGGTGCATTTCTTCATAATTTTTTATCGTACAATTATCTATCACTCTGTAATAAAATCAATTTAATAAAATTTCAATCAACGTTCATGTGTGAATGTTTTGTGGTAGTGATTTAAGATCTATTTGGTTCCGCGGGTGTAATAAGAGGCGACTATGGAATATGCCGGTATTACCTTATGGCTTCTGATCGATGACGGTATAACCATATAGCTTATGTCAGGCGTAAAATACCCAGACAAGCAAGGAAGCGCAGAGGTGCGAACGTCTGATTTTGTTCTTGTCCATACGCCTACAAAGCTTAAAAGTAAGCGACTATAAAGGCTCCACTGCGCGACACCCATGTCTGTTTACATGCTGATGAACATTGGAAGTTATATTTGTTAGCATACGTTAAATATTTTAATCAGTATTTGATAAGAGAAACCATGGTAGATTTCGTTTATGTCTAGCACCCATCTATTTATTTCTGCCGCCGAGCTGCAATGTACTTACTACTTTGTTCCAGTTTGATTGGCTAACAGTTTAGTTACTTCGTGTTTGTCCTCAGGATGACAAAAAATTTGAAGACCTGGTACCTGACCAGGTACCTGGAGTTAGTTGTATGCTACGTGAGTACTGGTGGTAGTCACTATCAGGCGGATTGAAAAAATTTAACGTAGTAGAACCGTGCTGCATATAAATTTGGTTGCAGTACGAATGGGTTGACTTGATTTGGAAAAAACCAGACTCTCATAAAATACCAGCGCAAAATAGCAGGTCGAAGCTGCTAAGTCTCGTATAGTGAGAGTAAAGATGCGGAGACCCTTTTTACTGGTAACAATGTACTCTATCTATTAAAAAAAACAGCATTGTTGTCATTTACTATAGCAGCAGTTAGGATGACATAAATACTCTTGTAATTTCATTGACGTTTTTTTTTCTTTCTTTGTTTTTCTTCCATAGTGTGATAACGAAACTACATTTTGATTCGTAATATGATAGATGTAGATGTCAATGAGCCACTTTGTAACACTCTTATTTTACGTCAATAAACAAATGCATTGATGACTCTATTAAGAATACTACGTCATTATAAGTACCTACGTACTCATGATATTTTTTATTGTCATCATTTCTTAATACGTCTGCAAAATTTCAAATAATTCAGATGTCTGAACGCGGGTAAAAACGTAATTCCTTGAAAATTCCATTGCATAATATATACTCATAAAAACAAACATACATAGGTCAGGCTAGTAGTGAAAACGTGTTAAAAGAAATACGTTTCATTAACGTACAAGCGCAGTTTACGAGTCTGTAAAACATCCAGAAATAATAGATGCTTTTAGTTTAGAACCGTGCCTTGCGGTAGTCTCTGGAGAAGGCTTTGTTCAGCGCACTAGTTATACAATATGGCGTGATGATTTAATTGAAGTTTAAATATTTAAGTCATCACAAACTGTAGAATAAAAGGTTTATTAAATTATAAATGAATACATGGTTGATAATAATCCCTGACAATGAGGTGGTCGCTTCCAAGGTGTTTCTAAAATAAATCTTGTAAATAATTTGTAATATTTCATATTATTCTAAAATTTATTTTAAAAAAAGTCCCACTAGGTTTCTTGCTGTTTCTTTCCAGGCAGATGTTTTCTCTCGATCCAGTGGTAAAGTAAAAAAAATAACTTTCAATAAGAATTACATGTGATCTATACTGAATTTAAAAATCATTCTATTCTATTTCAATTAGATTTGTGTTTTTTTTATAGGATAGGGTGACAAACGAGCACACAGTCCACCTGATATTAAGTGGTTGCTGCGGCCCATAGAGATCTACATCTATTCTCGATTACAAATCAAAATACAGATGCGTTGTCACCCGTGAGGACTAAGATGGAATGCCTCGTTTCTAGTAAAAAAGGTCTCCGGTTCCATACGAAACACAGCAGCATTAAGCTACAATTTAACGCTGGTATCCTGTGAGAGCGTGGACCTTCCCCGGTCGAGCCGACCCATTCGTGCTACAACTATACTACTAATATAACTGCAGCATGGCTCTATCATGTACAAATATATATACCACAAAGTCTTTAGATAAATATATATACCATAAAAACATGAACGTGAAAAGGGGAATAAAATCAGTATATACGATCTTTCTTTCTTTTTTTTTTAAACACGTTACCCCCCATACCAGGATTTGTAGGGGTTTTGACCTACGGTTCTCAGCGCCATAACTTATTGCTAAGCCACTGCGACAAGAAGCCGTCATATGGCGTTCAAGGTAGTCGGTTTCAGCGTCACAAGAGTTAAGGTCGAAACAGGCGCCAAGTTCCATAGAATTAGCTTAAAACATTGGATCTGTAGAAATACAACGTTATTGGAACTGCTATGGAGCCAAGCTCCGTTGTTACTTCGTTTGTCTAGTGGTCATAAACGCAACTGCTGATCATGGGGTTTCCGTTTCAAATCCCGTATCGGTCCAAAAAATCGTTACGTTAATCTGTCAATAAATTCTGCAGCCATAAGTCGGGAAATTGGCTATGTTTCACCTCCGTGCTTCCGGAAACACGTAAAACTGTTGGTACTGCGCCTGAACTCAGATTGCCATCCGACCGCACTAAGAAACGGCAATAGAGAGCCTCTGGTCCCGGCGGCAATTCTCAACAGCAACTATACAATTCATAATAATAATAATAATATAATCATATATAATAATAATAATAATAATATAATAATATAATCTGTGCAATACAGGATCAGGTTATTAAGACCAACAACTATCGGAGATACATCCTAAAGGATGGCACCGTCGACGTCTGTCGAGCTTGTCGCCATCCCGGGGAGTCACTTATTCATGTCATCTCCGGTTGTTCGGCGCTTTCTAACTCTGAGTACTTGCACAGGCACAACCTAGTAGCCAGAATTCTATACCAGGAGCTCGTTCTGAAATACGGTCTCGTGGACCGAAAATTGCCGTATTACAAGTACTTGCCGGAAGCCGTGCTCGAAAATGACCGCGCCAGGCTCTACTGGGACCGGGCCATCATCACAGACAGGACTATTCTTGCAAATAAGCCTGATATTGTGCTGATGGACCGGGCACAGTCAAGGATATTTTTGGTCGACATTACCATTCCGTATGACGAGAACCTCGTGAAAGCCGAAACAGATAAGCAAACAAAATATCTGGACCTGGCTCACGAGGTGACCGACATGTGGGGTGGTCTGCCGACCGAAATTATTCCTGTAGTCGTCTCTGCAAACGGGCTAATCCCAGTCAGCCTCTCGGGTCATCTGAGGCGACTGGGACTCCGTGACGGACCGCTCCGGGCTCAAATGCAGAAGGCAGTGGTCCTCGATACCGCCCGCATCGTTCGTCGGTTTCTTTCCTTTCCCCCTAACCCTCGGCCGTTTGGTCTCCCCTGCCGAGGGCTTCCATCTGGTTGGGCTTTTATTTATTTATGTACTTTTATATTTATTTTATATTATTGATATTTATGTATATTTATCTTTTCATTTTCATTTATAATTATATATTTATAGAACCCAACCAGATGAGAAAACTATATAGATACCCCACAATAATAACATATTAATTCATAATAATAATAATAATAATTGCCTGGAGGTCGCCAGGGCGCGTCTGGAGCTGGCGCTGGACGCGACAGCATGCGAACCGTCAGCCGAGCGCGAGGTGCTGCACGACCACCCAGCAGCCCCTCGCATCCATCATCCCCACCAGCTGGCTTGGTGTCGGCAGGGTTTTCGCGGGCCAAGCAATCGGCACCCGCCTCTGGTGGAGTACGCCGCATGCGTTGGACAACCCAGATGAACAGCAACGCATTGCGGGCGTATTTTAGGGCGAAATGGGGAGAAACTGGAGGTTTTGCGTATCGGGCAAGGATGCATCGACTTTTTGCTGAGCTGGAGCCATCTGTAACCGTCACCGAGCAAAACCTGGCAGACCGAGTTCGGTATATCTTGCGCTCAAATACATTTGATGTTACCGAACTCGAACGACTACGACGTGAGGCTGTTCCTTCATCGGGTGAAAATGCTGCGGCTGAGGATGCGGCGCCACAACTTGCTGAGCAAACGGCAAATGTAGATGCCGCCGTGAACACGCCAGTTGTGGTTGATTCAGACGATGATGGAACAGTCGCCCAGGAACTGGAACTAGAGCAAATGAGGAGTACACTGGAAGAGGCGATTGTGGAAACGCGCAGTACGCCTCTCGAAAATCGACCGCGACTTCCCCGCTTAGCCCTAAGCAAGCGGAATCGGGCTGTCGTGAGGGCTCTGAACCCAATGCTGGTTACCTATTTGGAAGCCAGCCAGGACCTTTGCGAGACGGACTCAATTCTTTTTGGCGCCGCACTGGCAGTCTGCCGTATTATAGGCGCCAAACTTTCCACGGCTGGACGCGCTACTGGACAAAGTAGTGCTATCCCAGCCTGGAGAATAAGAATTGAAGAACGTATCGCAAAGGCTAGGACCTATTCATCATAGGAATCAGACAATACCAGGCCAAGGATTGTGCGCACCGTCAGGATGGCGTTTGCTGGGACAAATGTTAGTTTGTCCCAGCCGGATATAATGCAAAAACTGACGGAGCGCATAGACGACCTGAAGCAAAGAATCGCTGCTTGGGGAAAGCGGATTCGGCGATATACCGAGAGGTCGACACGGTTCAACCAGAATCGTCTCTTCCAGAGTGATCAGAAGAAGCTCTATAAATCATTGGAGCGACCAATAGTAAGTGGAACGGACCCAGCACCAAATCAGGCCGACACGGTCGCATTCTGGCCCAGCCTGTGGTCATAGCCCGTAAACCACAACGAGGGCCCTTGCACGGAAGTTGTGGCGAGTCAGTGTGCGGGTATTACGCCCATGAACCCCGTCATCATAACGCCGGATGACGTAGCTGAGGCGGTCCGTAGGGCCCCGAACTGGAAAAGTCCGGGGCTTGACGGGCTGCATCACTACTGGCTGAAGGGGTTCATGGTGTGTCACGCTGTGCTCGTCCGACAGTTTCAAGAGGCTCTCAACCAGAAGTCGCTCCCAAGCCTCTTCACTACTGGGATCACTCATTTGGTTCCTAAAGATCAGGATGCCACAGACCCGAGCAAATACCGCCCCATCACGTGTCTACCGACCATATACAAGACACTAACATCCATTTTGAGCGCGAGAATCGCTCGTCACCTGGACTCTAATCAGGTGATGTCGCGCACTCAAAATGGATGTCGGGGTGGCGGTCGTGGAACCAAGGAACCACTCCTCATTGACGCGGTCATTGGCAAAGTGGTGAAACGCAACCGTCGGAACTTCTCCGCCGCCTGGATAGATTACAGAAAGGCATTTGACTCGGTGCCCCATACATGGCTAAAGAGGGTCCTCGAGCTGTACAAGATTGACTGTTCAGTTCGAGACTTCCTCGAGCAGTGTATGGGGCAGTGGAGTACGATCCTCTGTCATCTAGGCGAGCGGATGACGGCTGCGGAAAGCCGCATAAGGATAAGAAGGGGTATATTCCAGGGCGACTGTCTGAGTCCAATCTGGTTCTGCCTCTCTTTGAACCCTCTCAGTACTTTACTGGAGGGCTCCGGGAGGGGATTTCAGCTTCGGAAAGGAGGTGCAAAAGTAACCCACCTTTTCTATATGGATGATCTCAAGTTATTCGCCTCCAGTCGCTTCCATCTTATGGAATTGTTAAACATCACTTTTAAATTTAGCAATTCTATTAGAATGGAGCTGGGGACGGATAAGTGTGCGGTCCTCCATGTTGCAAGGGGAAGGATTGTTAACTCTGAGGGCATAGACTTATCTATACCCGTCAACTTAAGGGCCCTTTCCGAGGCTGAAACATACCGATACCTGGGTATGTCACAGAACATCGGTATCGATGAGGCTGGTATGAAACAGTCAGTTTGCGACGTGTTTTATGCACGCTTGACCAAAGTGCTTAACAGCCTTTTGTCCGGTGTGAATAAGACACACGCATATAACGGTTGGGTCATGCCTGTCCTCATGTATACCTTTGGCATACTCAGGTGGAGTCAGACTGAACTTAACGCCCTGGATAGAAAAGTCCGCACTACAATGACTTCCCATAGGATGCATCATCCGAGATCGTCGGTAATGAGGCTGTACTTGCCGCGAAAGCATGGTGGGCGTGGCTTCCTGAGCGCGCTCACCATGCATAATCGCGAAGTGTGCAGCCTCCGTCATTACTTCCTGGCGAGATCGGATGATCCATTCTATAATGACGTCATTTCTAGTGATAAAGGACTTACCCCTCTATCCTTAGCCAACGAGCAATGGCAAGACCCGGCAGTGCAGAGCATTTCCGACCGGGAGACCGTATGGAAGGAGAAGGAGCTCCACGGGAGGTACTACAGGGCTCTACATGAGCCTCACGTAGATACAGCCGCCTCCCTCAACTGGCTACGTTTTGGTGACCTCTTCGGGGAAACCGAGGGTTTTGTCTGTGCAATACAGGATCAGGTTATTAAGACCAACAACTATCGGAGATACATCCTAAAGGATGGCACTGTCGACGTCTGTCGAGCTTGTCGCCATCCCGGGGAGTCACATAGGCATGTCATCTCCGGTTGTTCGGCGCTTTCTAACTCTGAGTACTTGCACAGGCACAACCTAGTAGCCAGAATTCTACACCAGGAGCTCGCTCTGTAATACGGTCTCGTGGACCGAAAATTGCCGTATTACAAGTACTTGCCGGAAGCCGTGCTCGAAAATGACCGCGCCAAGCTCTACTGGGACCGGGCCATCATCACAGACAGGACTATTCTTGCGAATAAGCCTGATATTGTGCTGATGGACCGGGCAGAGTCAAGGATATTTTTGATCGAAATTACCATTCCGTATGACGAGAACCTCGTGAAAGCCGAAAAAGAGAAACGAACAAAATATCTGGACTGGCTCACGAGGTGATCGACATATGGGGTGGTCTGCCGACCGAAATTATTCCTGTAGTCGCCTCTGCGAATGGGCTAATCCCAGTCAGCCTCTCAGGTCATCTGAGGCGACTGGGACTCCGTGACGGACCGCTCCGGGCTCAAATGCAGAAGGCGGTGCTCCTCTATACCGCCCGCATAGTCCGCCGTTTTCTTTCCCTTTCCCCCTAACCCTCGGCCGTTTGGTCTCCCCTGCCGAGGGCTCCCATCTGGTTGGATCTTATTTATTTATGTAGTTTTTGTGTTTATTTTATTTTATTGATATTTATGTATATTTATCTTTTCATTTTAATTTATAATTATATATTTATAGAACCCAACCAGGTGAGAAAATTATAGAAAATTATATAGATATACCATAATAATAATAAGCCTTTTATTTCATGCTAATAATGACATACGTACATAGATAGTTTAGAAAAAAAGAAGTGAATAGAGAAAAAGTTTAAATCTGGATAATAATATATAAGTTCGTTTGCATGAACCCCCCCTCAAGTGAAGGTGAAGGCCTCCTCTAAAGAATTCCATGTGTCTCTATCTTGTGCTATTTGCGTCCAGCAGGTACCAGCTATTTTTATCAATTCGTCTGCCCATCTCGTGTAGGGTCTGCCTTTGAGACGTTTGCCGATTGGACCATACAATTCATATCTCACTAAAATTATACAATGTATATTATCGTATTTAAATTTTATAAAAGATATTGCGAAAAACATCGTATCGTTTAAACAATTAAAATATGACGAAAATGTTATGTGCAGTATTTAATGGCAAAATTTAAAATAAGTAGAGGTGTAAAAATTGTTCCTACGTGTTTCGGATTAAGATAATTACAGTGACTATAGAAAATATTATTTAAACTGTGCTAAATCTGAAAAAAATTGATACAAATTTCAACAATGAGTTAGAAAAAGAACAGCAATATAAATCTGTAAATTAAAATTTAGAAATTATTTTGTTGATATAATTTACACACATTGGCCATGTTTGATGTATGCAACGAATTATTTGAACAAATCATACAATTAGTTATATTGAAACTAGAAGTGAGTTATTACAAGATTATTGCCAAAAATGTTTAACAAAATATATGTCGCTAATTCGTACAGGTGCTTATGAGTAAAGAAGATAAGAAAATGTTGAAAGAATTGCACTCTCAAGCCAAAATTAGAATTAGAATTAAAAACAATTTTAAAAGAAAATATCTCGTCACATAATTCTAAATATTTATCTCATAGTTTACCTACTTTCAGTACTAGCCTTCCACAAAAAAAGTTACCACCCATCAATCTTCCCACGTTCTATGGTAATTATCGAGATTGGCTTAATTTTAAATATCTTCTTATTGATACTTATTGAAAAGAGACTAAGTGATATCCAAAAACATCACTATTTAAGATCAAGTTTATCAGGTGAAGCTGAGCAACTGCTTTGTCATTTCGATATCATTACTTAAAACAATTGTTGCAAATAGAACAACTGAGATATTAATAATGATTTCTTAAATTTATGCTACACATTGAATAAAACTAAATTTCGGATTTTATCGCGTTTAATTACCTACTTTTACTTATTTTTAATTCCCGACGTTTCAGCCCGGCTAGCTTCAGTTTTATATATATACATATATATATATATATATATATATATATATATATATATATATATATATATATATATATATATATATATATATATATGATCATATAACCCAGCTGATTGCGCTTCGTGAGGCATTAGACCGAGTTCTTTTAAAGATTTAGATTTGTGGTGGCACGGACCAATGTTTTTACGTCAAAGAGAAAGTATCTCCACTACACAAGTTGATATACCAGACACTTCTCTTCAAATAAAACAAACAGTGAATAGCAATGTTAATAGAAATTCAGAACATACCGATGTAAAACTTAAGGTGTTAAACAACTCTTCCTCGTATAAACAGATATTAAATTCGCGTGCAACTATAATTTCACCTGATGGTGGGTGGTGTAGTAAGCCTTAGATGATAAAGTGACACACTAGTACTGCACTACATTGTAATCGGATGGTCTTTCTATCCAGCAAACTTATTAATTTAATTGGACAGTTTTGGTAATTTTAGATTGTTATAACATGTTGTTTATAGCATAGTTTTTGAAATAATAATTATTTTAAAAACTAAAATCGATTTTTTCGGTCGTTAAACCTGTTAAGAATTATAAAAATACTTCATATAACAAAAGCACGTATTAAATAACTTCAAACGAAAGTATTTGCAATGAATACAACAAATTAATCAAACCATGGCTAACTTCACTCATGAACGGAAAGACCCGAAGTCGTTTCTTCCCGCGTTCGCTTCTTGCGATGCACCAAACGGAAATGTTCGGCAGAATATCCGGCGGCCCGATATCCGGATATCCGAATCTCCGGTATCTGGTATCCGGCCAAACAGCTATCCGTTTCATCTCTAATAATTAACTTATATAAAAACAATACATAGAAATACTTATGCAGTAGTAGATATAGGCAGTATCGTAAAAAGATATTAGCTCC